TAAATCTGTCTAAACTGAACTCTCTGTAACCATTAAACTGGATTCTACATAAGTCTGTTTAATCTGAACCCCTGTGTGAACAGGACACCTGTATAATTTGAACACCTTTTCTCATTGACTTCTATAAACTGGACACCTTTGTGAATCTATGATGAGTACTGTAAAACACTTTGTTTTAAGGCATGAATTGAAAGAATCTTAGTTTAATTAGAGTGCTGATAATCACATTGTGAGAATACATTCATCTTGAGTTAGTTAAATTACAGATTAGCTAAAATAACATGCTTTCTAAAAAACGCATGTTCTACAGCCTATAGAGGAGGGGCATGTCTCTGTGTCTAATATTGATCCTGACTTTTCTAATTTGACAGAGGTGCACCAACACTGGTAGTTTTACCTGTTGCAGCCAGTCATGTAGCTGCTGGTAGTAATCACACTGTGGTTCTACTGGAGAATGGACAAGTATTTACATTTGGAAGTCATCAGGTAAGTGTATGGTTAACTGCTTAAGAGATGGATTTAGCCAAATAGGAACAGTGTGACATTGTCTTAACCAGTTATCAACAATAGATGTGGTGTTAATAGAATGTGGTGTTAATAGAATGTGGTGTTAATAGAATGTGGCGTTAAGAGAATGTGGCGTTAAGAGAATGTGGCGTTAATAGAATGTGGTGTTAATAGAATGTGGTGTTAATAGAATGTGGCGTTAATAGAATGTGGCGTTAGTAGAATGTGGCGTTAGTAGAATGTGGCGTTAATAGAATGTGGCGTTAATAGAATGTGGCGTTAATAGAATGTGGCGTTAATAGAATGTGGCGTTAATAGAATGTGGCGTTAATAGAATGTGGCGTTAATAGAATGTGGCGTTAATAGAATGTGGCGTTAATAGAATGTGGCGTTAATAGAATATGGCGTTAATAGAATGTGGTGTTAATAGAATGTGGTATTAGAATGTGGCGTTAATAGAATGTGGCGTTAATAGAATGTGACATTAATAGAATGTGGCGTTAGACATTTAGCAACATCATGACACAGTATAAGCAGTTAGCAGCCGTAACATAACATTTTTAATGTTATATCAAATCAAAATAGTATAGTTGAAAGTTTTGCAGTCAGTGTTCACATCATCTTGTTAGCTGTGATGATACCAATGTGTTTATTGATACTGCAGTACACACTTCCTATATCAAAGTGAGGGTATCTGAAAGCATTTTAGAAAACTTCAAAGTACTTTTTGTTCCCCTTCATACATATATAACATTTTGTAATTAATATTAATTGTTTTAATCCCAATTAGAGTGATGTCTTTTACTTGCATTCTTTTGTTTTTGCACATGTGCAAGAAAAGCTTATCTATACTGTTATTCAAATTGTTTTTGTGAAATCACAAAATAAGTTTTGTTCAGAGAATAAAAGATATTGTTTTGCGAATTGTTGGTTTTGGTTTACTTCAGAAAGGACAGTTGGGGCGTGCTGCACCAGGTGATGAGCAGTCTTGCAGACACTGGTATGCAGAGCCGGGTCTTGTACCTGGTATTGGTGCTCAGTCTGGCAGGAGAGCCACGTGGATTGGTGCTAGTGGGGATCAGACATATATGAAAGTAGATGAATCGTTGATCAATGCCAATACTTTGGCAAAATGTAAAGTCTTTTCTAATCACAAATCTATTGGTAAGTGTTTCTATTTTGTCAATTTAATATGTTGTAAACATGTTAGTGTGAGTGTAATCCTAGCAGATCATAGCAGCTATCGTAGAAAGCACAGGGTTGGGTCCACAGCTTGGATATTATATTTTCTATTCCTTATCTATTAATTTATTTTAGAATATTACTCTCAATACTCATGTCTGGTCAGAGTATTATGAACTGTTGACATATACATAAATCTTCGGAAATACCTAGTAATCAGATTTTTCGTTTCTCCCTGATTGCCTAGGAAAAACAATGTAGTACTAGCCAATCTGGCTAAAATTGTTTTATCGTTTGTGCAAGCCTAGTTACAACGATTTGTAGCTTAATGCTTATTTCTAACGTGATATATTTATACTGTATATGGGTATGCTAAAAAAACATTTGTCAAGAACTATGGTATTTCTTTTCGTATGACAGCATTTACAGTGTTCTGCTCTTTTTATAGTATCATAGTTCATAGCCTTCACTTCATCTTGGCAGCAATGTGAGGTACAAAGATTGAACATTCACTCACACTATTTCTCATTGTAGGTCTAATTCCCACTGATAGTGCATCCACTGTTAAATGCCTCATGATCAGTGGATCTGATGGCAATTGTAAGAGTTTCTCTGGTCCAGATCAAGTCACATTGAAGGATAGATGTATATGTTTAGATCCAGTCTACGATGTGCTATGGAGGTGAGTTTCCCCAAAATTCACACTATTAAGTTTTAACGCAGATTAACACATTGGGACCACATTGGACATTTTGAATGGTATTCAACTTCAATAATATACTGTAAAACATGTTGTTGTTGCTAGTATGTAATTTTAGCTAATCTGTAATTTCGCTAATTCAAGATGTTTCCAATTTAAAAGGGAATATATTCTCACAATGAGATTTATCAAAATTAGGATTCTGTTAATTTGTGCAATTATCATGTAGGTTTTTCAAAGTGTTTTACAGTAGTTGGAAGTTTTGCGGTCAGTGTTCACGTCATCTTGTTAGCTGTGGTGATACCAATGTGATTATTGATACTGCAGTACAAACTTCCTATATCAAAGTGAGGGTATCTGAAAGCATTTTGGAAAACTTCAAAGTACTTTTCGTTCCCCTTCATACATGTAATCTTATTCCGTAATTGGTACAAATGTTATTCAGTTTCTATTGTGGTGGTAAATGGAATCTATATGGGATAGGCAGCATACAATATTAGGGTTGTCAATATGTTGTTGGAGAAAATGATATTTGGCATGTTCTCTTCGTTTGAAATGGAATGTACTGAAAGTTGATAACTATCCAATTTATCATTCTAGTTATGACCCTTTAACAAGTCATGTGTGCTGTTACAACGTCCTGACTGGAGATGCCCATGACATTGTGACGAAAGATAGCAGTGAAAGGCCTAGTATTTTAAATTGTGAATTTACCATACCATGCCAGTCGGATACATCTACCACAAGGGCACATTGTGCTTTGAACTTACTTTGCTGCTTAGATACGTTAACAACATCACAGGATGTGGGCATTGTAGTTGCTGAACAGAGGCAGGATTTCCATTCCACTGCCAGAGTATTTACTAAGGATGACTTTACTATTGTCAACCGATTTGAAAGTGAGTATTATTTCAATTCAGTGATTGGCTTTTAGGACTTATATAAAATGGGGACCCCCTCCTCTATTATGATATGTGTACAAGTCCCATGCAGTTATATAATAAGTTTATAATGTGTTTGGATTTGTTATCACATCATATGTTGATTTTTTTTTATCTGTGGAAGCGTCTTGTAGGCGATGTGTTAAAATGATCCAGTTGGAAGTTTTGCAGTCAGTGTTCACATCATCTAGTTAGCTGTGATGATTCCAATGTGATTATTGATACTGCATTACACACTTCTTAAATCAAAGTGAGGGTATCTGAAAGCATTTTGGGAAACTTCAAAGTACTTTTCGTTCCCCTTCATACATATAACATATTTTCACTGTTATTTACAGGTCATGGAGGAGGCTGGGGATATTCGGGACATTCAGTTGAAGCTATCAGATTCACTGTAGACTGTGATGTTGTACTTGGTGGGTTAGGATTATTTGGCGGCAGGGGAGAATACACAGCCAAGATCAAGGTCAGTGTCAGAATGTATAAATGTCAAAGTCTGTACAGTCGGTTATTCTTGATGTAATATGCCAAGTACAATTGAAATAAATACTTTCATGCATCAAGGATAGACCATGTTCTGTGGTACAGCTATTGTTCGCTTCTATGTGTACGTACAGAGCACAAATCAAGGGTTCATGTGTTGACAACCCGTCTGTGTGTATGTGTACCTCTTTGTGTATATTCGGCAGAGGAATGGTCAGAGTCCATGCAAGCATCAAAGTCAGTGAAGTCAAAAGCTTTATGGGGTAATTACAAATTAGTATGCAGACTATATGAAAAAAAATAATGATGTATTACTCAAAATGGTTGCCAACTTGCCATAGTAAAACTGGTTAATAATCTTTATATATTTGATTAATAGGTGTATGAATTAGGTGTTGATGGAGGTGATCATGAAAGTGATGGTGATCTACTAGCTGAATCAGATGATACTAGTTATGAATGTGGAGCAAGGTATGTTTGATGTCATATGCATCTTTTATTCAGGGCTGCAAACAATATGATTGCTGTCAAAGTAAAGATGGTTTCTTTGCTGAATTCACTAGACTGTCTTTAACACATAGCTTGCAATGATTTTGGTATTTCTGTGGAAAAAGCAAGCAATGTGTGTAAATATGATTTTATATAAACTATGAATCCTGACAAACCTGATTCTAGGTGGATTTACCCTGTGTATTGAGGTGAGCTGATAGAGTTTAAGCAGCTGTACAATGTTCTAATTGGAAGTTTTGCAGTCAGTGTTCACATCATCTTGTTAGCTGTGATGATTGCAATGTGATTATTGATACTGCAGTACAAACTTCCTATATCAAAGTGAGGGTATCTGAAAGCATTTTAGAAAAGTTTAAAGTACTTTTCGTTCCCCTTCATACATATTAATACTTCCTATTACATTTAAACTTGATAATGCACCTTAATTAGCCAGAACTTCTGTAGCTTATTTAACGCATTGTCTGCTGGAAAACCTCCATGGATAGCTGAAATGACTGGTGTATACCGGTAACATCATCAGGAAGCGATGTGAAGAAACGTGCACTTCTCTTCTTTAGATTTCTTCATTAAAATCCATCATATTGTTCACATGTTGACATTCATAAAAAATATTGTTTCTTGCTACCATATTAGAGAGAAATTTCCAGTTCTGTTTGATGAACCAGTGCTGCTATGTGCCAATATCTGGTATGTAGCATGGGCTAGGGTGTCTGGACCAAGTAGTGATTGTGGTTCTGGTGGAATTATGACTGTGACTTCAGATGACCAGTGAGTATTGTGTACATGTATGGTGCTGTTTATATCGGAAATATATCATATTTTCTTTTAGACTAATAGTCCATGTAGCACATGTGCTCACATAAAAAATTATTTTGTATAATTATACATGTATTGATTGATGTGATAGGCAAATGCCCTGAGATTTGAATAAACGACTACTACTTCAATAAATAAATAACATATTCCTTGAGTCAATGTACAAAAATTGTGTATATTGTGTGGAGGATGTGCTTCAAATAGACCAGATACAATATTCATTAAAAATTTAACATAGTTATTACTGCTTATTAGATGAATCTTTGCATGGATTGTGTTACCGCCAGTCAATACAACTGTTCTTTTCTGCTGTTTTCATCACATCACTTACATGCACTTTCTTTTCAGAGTTGTATTTAGGTTCAAAAGTTCCAAGAAATCCAATAATGGAACCGATGTGAACGCTGGCCAGATTCCACAAATACTATATAGGTAAGCAATCCCACTATAATGATATGGATTGTTGATCTGTCCTGTCTAATGTCCTACTGTGGTGATTTACACCCATGATGCATGTAATAATTCATGTGTTACTATCATTGTCAGGTTACCTTTAGCAGATACATCAAGTGGTAGTAATGTGACCAAAGAAGTAGAACCTATTCATATACTATCAAGGCAATTTAGTAGAACAGTGTCATCAGTAAGTACTCATCTTTTTATGACAACAAGGTTGCATCCACGTCTATGTTGATAGCGTTTTATGAATATGATATTAAAATTATTTTTAATGTATTTAAAGCTGCATTATCTGTTAAACTTTTATCTGCTAAATTTTAAGTCTTGAACATGTGTAAAATGAGCAATGAATTGGAATCAGCAGTTACAGCGCTCATGAGTCAGAACCTGACTGATTTATTTTTTATCTGGAATATCTAAAATCCTGACATGCAATGCCCTTTTAAATCCTACTTTAAAACACACTCAACACAACTAGCCCTGCCAGTATTAAATGTTCCGTGTTTGCTTGGACGCAATGTCAATAAATTCTATGAAATCTCATACAACATGTATAAATTTAGAAAGAAAAGGACAGTACAACTTGAAAAGTGGGTGGACTTGTTGATCCCATCACAGCGAATCATAAATGCATAAAAATCAATAAAAACAATAAATAGATAAACATAAAACGTCAATAGATCACTATGGCCGTTTGCTGTTGAAGATGTTGTGGCATATGGATACCAAAATTGTATCTGGTATCCATCTTGTTTCATCATAAAAAAAAATTATCCTCATATTTTTTAACATTTCATTAACTTCAAAAACAATTTGGATAACCATAATTAAAAAATTCAACGTCATAGCCTTGCATCCTGATATCTCACTTGAAAGTACATCTCCAACTTGGTGCTCTTGGATTTGCACGTTGATGTCTAAAAGTATTCTATTTGTACTTGGAAATAAATTCACATGGTGCATTTGTGTGTATTATGCACTTTCTATGTTGCTAAGTAACTCTTCAAATATTTCTGAACAGCTGTAATAATCTAAATGTTCTCTTTTCGCAGGCGTGTTTTGATTCGTTACTCAATCTACTGGAATGGAGCTGGGCAACATTCAACAAATCATTACTGGAGATCCAAAGCCTGAAAGGAACCAATTTAACTGCTGCGTTGTTAGACCTAAATAGACTAGTCTATTTGAGTACTGCTAGTCTGCGATTGCTAAAGATCTACACATGTGAAGTGTATCCAAACGGAAGTAAGTAAATATCCACTACGTAATTCAAACATCAAACCACTCATAATATATATATATATATATATATATATATATATATGGTAATGGAGGAATTAAGACACAACTACATGAATATTGTAACTACAGCACTGTTTTGTAAGGTACAAACCTCACTCATCCGGAGCTTTATGTTATATATTTATATATATATATATATTTATAATGAACTGTACAAAACCAAAAAATAAGTGCTTCTTCACTTTTTGTCTTTGTCCACACAGTACCCAGTGCTAGAACACCACCAGAGACTGAAACCTTAGCAGATTGTGTTGGCAAAACAAGAACACTACTATGTAAAATACTCTCCGAGAAATCAGTGTATTCTATAAAAACCAGAGGAAAAGATGACGTACATCATAACGATTTATTGGATATGATTCTGTTGGAATGCCATCACACATTTGTCAATTGTTTTCATGCGTTTTATCCAACAAACCAACTGAAATGGATTTGTTTATGTGATCTTCTTAGTCAAATGAATCCGGTAAGCTACATTATTGTATATCTAGCAGTGAAAATTATAGAATTTTCTATTTCATAAAAAACCCGTACCTGCATTCATTCGAAAACGTATATGCACTCATGATTGTCATGATATTCGAACATTTTCTTTATGTACGTCAGACACACAAGAGTAGAATCCTGTCACTAAATGCAAACGTTTACACATAACAATACATATCCATTTCAGACTATTATCTTTCATTAAATCATTACTACAAGTAGGCAGTATGTGATCTCTATGACCTCTGCTATGCATCGGTTGATTGCGTGTCTGTCTTTGTGTATTCTCGTGATATTCAAATTACATTTTTTTTGCTAGAAGTGTTTGCTATTTTATGATAAAATTTAGTGAGGACAACATTTTGCAAAAGCTGATTTTTCCAGACTTGAAAAAATCACAAAATTTTCTAGTCAAAGTGTTTTGTCTAATCGTTATTACCATGGTTATTACCAGAATATGCATCTTCAATATTAAAAACAGTTCATGGGTTACCATGTGTATAATATTTTTAATTTTCTTGCATATGGGATTTTTTGTTAGTAGTCACTATCATATTATTATAAGTGCATTGCCAATAGAAGCAGGCATAAAACAAAATAATGTGCTCTTGCATGTTATTTCAGGAATAGCTTTATAGCAATATGACTTATTTTGACCTTAGAGACATTTCTGTCATTTACGGAAGTACATACTCTACTAAATAGTATGGTATTCATGCATAATTTACACTGTCTTGGTGTCCATACATATGATCAGGATATCTGGACCAAGGGGCAGCAACCAAGAAAGTCTAATATATTTTTGAAATAATGTCTTTTTACCAACAACTGGTCATAAAATGAACCCCACTAATGCAACATCAACCAGTGAACTCAAAACTGTTATTGTGAATGTTTTAAGTTTAAAATATTTCTAGGATATGCATTGCTTGTGTGTCATCAATAAAGTATAGAAATTCTGTGTATTGAGGTATTTTCGAGAAAATTGAATAAAGTGTGAAATGTCGCAATCATTCTGTTTGTTCTTTATTTTTCAGGAAGATAAGGCGATCACAAATTGTTTCCTTTTAGCCGCAGTCTTAGAGGCGTTATGTCATCCATCAGTTAAACTCACAAATCTTCTGCCAATAGTTAGAGAAACTGAAGCTGCATCGTTAGCTTTACAACGACAACTTAGTAACGATGATAATGCTAGCTGTGCTACATTAGTTGGTGAACACATAAGATATCCATTACTTGTATCAAATCTGGAAATGACACTTCAGGTAAGTAGTTAAATCATGTGTACTTCCGGTATCCATTTTTGCATATAACATATGATCTCTCTTAAATGAACATGTTTTTTTCTTCTCTCCTTTTCCTCAGAGATTTGAATTCCTTCACTAATATACCACAATAGACAATAGCTCTTTTGCAGTTCTTTACTGTGGAACCCCTGCTTCTTTGCTGCAGCTGATGCATATCCCAATTTATAAAAGTTATATTGCTGAGAAAAACTTAAAATCCTGAAGCTACTATGTTATACTGATTAAAACTTGACGCATTGCTCTGTTTATCGACTAAAATATTATTACAATAAACATTATACATTGCTATTTGAATTCTGCTTTAGGACTGGTAAACTGAATTAACATAGGAATTATTTAATTTTCGATGTGCATCGTTTTCTCATCATAGTGATAAAAATGATGTGCGTCTAAAAATAACGTCAATGGAAAATATATCACAAAGAATATTGATTTTCGTCAATCTTAATAGTTGAACAGAGAATCCTGTGTGTGATTCATTGATGGTTCTACCAGGCTTATAATTATATTTCTTGATTACTTAGCAGGTGGATGGATGTAGTAGTATGGGGAATTTCAGAGAAGTTCTTGCAAAACTCATGTCCATTATAGTGCTTCCTGTTAGACACTCGCTGAAAAAGGTAGGTCAGCATTTCATCATATTTAGTAAAAAAACGGATATTATTTTGGAAGCTAACTGGCTTACAAATCAACTGACATCATGGATTGTAAATAATAGTTGTATTTCTGTGCAGGTGTACTAAAAGTGCTGGTGAATGTATAATATGTTATGTATTCACTTTTAAACGTTTCATTATTTTTTAATCATTTAAGTGATGTGAAAGTATTTCCAACCACTTAAAATTTTTTTTTTTGCAAAAAGCACAACTAATAGAAAATCGTGACATTTTATAAGCTGTATTTTGTAAACTTTTCTGAGGGACTTTTAGGTGACAGGTCAATTTAGTAATTGTAGCAATGCGTTCAGATTATTAAATTGTGAGTTATTATCGTGATGAAAAAGTCAGTAATTGAAGTCTACAAAAGAATTTCTACAATGTGGAATGATAGTCACTCACTACTTACTGACAAAAAGGATAACTACCAAAGCCCATTTTAATTCAATCATAATTCATTGCAACAAGATGATGATTTTGAAGGCTGTCCCATATATGAATCATCATATCTTTCATGACATGTTCTTTTGTTATCTCTATATACAGGAAACTTGTACAATTCCACCACTACTGGTTTCCAACGCGTGTTCATTATTAGCTTGTATTGTTAGTGAGCTAGCAGCATCAGCTACTGGATCCGAGGTGAGTCTTTACATCCACTATATTGTATATAAACGATCGTTGTTTTCTCCAACCGGGCATGTCGTGGTCTTGTATTAACTACTACAATGGCCAGCAATAATCGTGAGTTTAAACACAGCTGGCAAAACTGGCGTCTAACTATTTGGGTTTTTCTGGCACGGTCACCATATTGAAATCAACAACTTAGATGGTGGTGGTGGTGGTGGTGGTGGGGGGGGGTCAATAAGTCACGGTAATATCACTATATACACTATATTGTATATACTGTAACTGTTGGCATCAGTGATAATATCTCAGTTGTTATCATCCCTTCTATTTTTTATTCCCTATTTAACTTAGTTATATTATCAATGTTTAATGGATCATTAAATGTAGAATGGAAGTTTTCAGATGATTTATACATTACATTGTCTTTACAGAATGATATTCAGAGTACAGGTCGACCTATTTTGACCACGCCGACAAGGTTTGCACGTGTAAGCCAGGGTCGTAGCTGGAATACTGGCAATGGATCACCGGATGCTGTATGTTTCAGTGTTGATAGATCCGGTGTCATCATTATAGGTTTTGGTGTGTTTGGTGGACTTGGACAGTATGAGTATGAATTAGAACTATTAGATGATGTAAGTAAATATCACTGTTTTACAACTGGAGATTGAATAGTGTGATCATTTGCTTTGTACATGCTGCCTGTGTGTACATTTGTCATGCACACACACCAAATGTACTGCAATGTTTATTGTATCTGTGTCATTCTATGCTTGCCGCCTTGCAAGGTAATTCTTATAAAATGTGCGGGGGTTTTTCTAGAAAAAAACTGCAAGTGGGGGAGATAGTGTTCTCCCTAACAGGGTGTGGAATTTTTGATAATTCTAAGTTAAAATGGAGCATTCTATGTCTTCCTTGGGGCCAAAATTACTATCTGACAGGTCACAGTTGAAGACTCTGGTCACATGTGATCCCTGGTCAATCAGAATTTTATGGTTGCCAGAGGATCTGCTTCCCAGGGTAAGAGGGTGCATGGCCATGGCATGAGGGCACTGTGTTCCCTTGTTTAAAAAAATCCCTGGTGTGTAAAATAAAGTATTGCTATTTAGATGAGACTTGCATTATACATACAATGCACGCCCTCTTGTGTTCTCAGTTGTAATATAATAAGATCTAACACTCCCAACTCTCGTCATCACAGCTTCTGGTACAGTTCTGGTACATAGCCAACCTACATTACAGTCTGAGCATCTTCTAAGCTGGCTTTTTTTAAGAAGATCATCATTGTTATCATTAATTTCAACTTACTATTTGTTTGTACCCCCAGTAGTATCTAAGTTACCAATATGAGACATGAAATATACATACTTTGCATACTTTTAAAATATAATTTTTTTAAAAACAAGCTGAGCCCCTTCACAGGAGTCATTGATGATTGTCAGCACTTACCCTACTGTCTTATGTAATGTTCATTCATTTATATTGCAGATAGAGGGTAGTAGCGATGGTCATAACCACAGGTGGAATTCATTAGAAATAATTAAAGGTACATATGGAGCGGATGACTGTGTCAATGATGTTGCTGAAATAAGATTTGAAAGACCGGTTCCTATCAAGGTAACTAAAAAGCATATTCAATGGTCTATTTTCAATTGATTTGAGTCGGTTATAGTGTTGGAGAGTAACCCCCTCACCCCTTGGTGTTCAAACATTGGAAATTCTTATTAAAATACATGACTCTTCAAATATCAAGTACTGTGTTCTGACATGCCTTGACTGATTGCAATTTATCTTCACACACATACCTTATACATCATATCACACAAAAATGACTGATTTCCTCGCTTGTATATTTTTCGTTTGTATAGGAAATGAATTTTTAAGTATACTACGAGTATACTATGTGATGTGTTTTAATCTTTAAACTTCACAGGAAGGAGTCAAGTATGCGGTGAGGCTACGTAATCATGGCAACAGGACATCCAATGGTGATGGTGGATTGGCTCAGATTAAAGGCCCTGATGGCAGTACATTTACATTTAGTTCCTGTTCTCTCAGTAGTAATGGTACAAATCACACGAGAGGACAACTTCCAACAGTATTATATCAAACGTAAGCTTGTGTACCATCCCGATTATTTGTCTGATATCTCCATAAGTTGATTTTTTTATCCTAATTGTGTACATTCATATAATTGTACATTGTATGTTGAATAAAATAACTTGTAATACTGTAGAATACTTTATTTTCGCTGAAGGGATGATTCCGTGAAAATAAAATCCAGTGAATATACTTTTTTTCCTACATCTCACATTAAACTCATCAAAAATCAGTGAAAACAATTCCATACAAAACGCCCAAAAAGCCTTTTCAGCGAAAATTAATTCCAGCGAAAATAAAGTATTCCACAGTATTACAATCGATCTAAACCTTTTTGATTGAGTTGTTATTGCTTGATTTATTGTTTTTCTTCAACAGAACACCAAATGAAGGAGAGGTTTCGACTCCACACAATAGTCAAGCAGCAGCTGAGATGCAATCAAGGAATAATGCTATTACTATAACAAGTGCAATAATTAAATCAGCAACTGATATATTGGAAAGAGCACAATCACACCAAAGTATGTCTGTTTAATGTTATATATTATTATGGTGCACTGTAGACCTTTGCCCTAGGCTATACATGAATATAATTACTTGCATTTCAATCAAATGATTAGAGATAAGTATAGTAATAAAAACAGTGTAAAGTGGAAAAAGTAAAAGTAAACATAGCTAGTTGTCATTTCTTTGCTTTAAAGCCAGAAACAAAAAATGAATGGTTTGCCAGGTACTGCTAGAAATGTTTGAACATATCTTAATTTGTACAACATTTTGTGAATGTTATTGCTGTCTCACTAAAATCTTTACTGCTGTATTTTTGACTCTCGTGTGCGAAGCACAAAAAGGAAGTCTTTGCAGTTAGTGTGTCTATATGTGTGTGTGTGTGTATGTGTGTCCGTCTGTTCCACTGATATCTCAAGAACCATACATTGATTTTTGATGAAACTTGATGCATAGATGCTCTTTGTCAATGCGCAGATTTGATTAGGTTTTGGTAAAAATTCATGCATATTAATCATCTAATTTGCATGATAATTACATGTAGCTGATTTTTAGCTGTTCCACGACTGTTCCACTGATATCTGAAGAACCACTCATTGGATTTTGATGAAACTTGGCACATAGATCCTCAAAACTAATGCGCAGATTTGATTAGTTTTGGGTAAAAATCTGTGCAATACTAATTACCTAATTTGCATAATGATTAATCAATTTTCGGCTTTTCAACTGATATCTCAAGTACTAATCATCACATTTCAATAAAACTTGGTACATAGATGTCATAGGATACTGCACAAACCTGATAGTTTTTAGGGTAATATCAGTACATATTAATTACCTAATTTGCATAATTAATTAATTTTCAGCTTTTGATGTTTCAAGTAGTAATCATTACATTTCAATGCAATTTGGTACATAGATGTCATAGGACACTACACAGACCTGAAAGGTTTTCGGGTAATATCAGTACATATTAATTACCTAATTTGCATAATTAATTAATTTTCAGCTTTTGATATTTCAAGTAGTAATCATCACATTTCAATGAAACTTGGTACATAGATATCATAGGACACTGCACAGACCTGATAGTTTTTAGGTCAATGTCAGTACATATTAATTACCTAATTTGCATAATTAATTAATTTTCAGCTTTTGATATTTCAAGTAGTAATCATCATATTTCAATAAAACTTGGTACCTAGATGTCATAGGATACTGCACAAACCTGATAGTTTTTAGGTTAATATCAGTACATATTAATTACCTAATTTGACTAATTAATTAATTTTCAACTTTTGATATTTCAAGTAGTAATCATCACATTTCAATGACACTTGGTACAAAGTTACTTGAGGACTGTTCAGACCCCTGATTAGTTTTTGGGTAAATATTTGTGCATATTAATTACCTTATTAGCATAATTAGTTAATTTTCAGCTTTTTGCCTCATATCTCAAGTACTAATCATCATATTTCAATGAGACTTGCTACATAGATCTTCTAGGACTATGCAGAGACCTGATTAGTTTTAGGGTGAATAATTGTGGATATTAATTACCTATTTTGCATAATCAGTTAATTTGTTCCATGAATGTTCCACTGATATACATGTATAAAGAACCACGAATTGGATTTCAATGAAACTTTTAAAGAGAACTATGCAGAGACCCAATTAGTTTTTAGTAAATATTTATGCTTATTAATCACCTAACATAATTAATTAACACTGATATCTTAATTACTGATCATCACATTTAAATAAAATTTGGTACATAAATGCTCTAGGACAATAGACAGGCCTGATTAATTTTGGGTTAAAATTTGTTCATATTAATTCTCTAATTAGCATAATAATTCATAATTTTATTGTTCTGTTCATATTAGTTACCCGATTTACATAATTAGTTTTCAGCTATTCCATCAATATCTCACGTACAAGTAATTTTGAATTAATTTTTAATGTGTCTTCAATACTCTCAGCACACGGGAGTTCTTTCTAAGCTTTCTTTGATTTTAAATTCCCATGACTTGAAAATTTTGAAATTAATTCTGTGATATTGTTATTTTTCAGATGGTGATCTTGTTGAACTACTTGGTTCTGTTCATCTGTTTTCTTCGTTGTTACCATTAGTGTTAGCTAGTATTGCACCTGTTGCTTCCACTGATCCTAGAGTAAGTTTCATATTTATATTTTTTTCAATAATCATGTCTAAATAGTTGCATGTAGGTTCAAAATAAAAATACAAAATATATCTGAAATTCTCATTTGAAAATAGACTTATAGATATAGCTTGATAAATATAATCCTTTTCTGCAGGTCAATTTTTATATTGAGAGTCATATGCTCTGCCAGTCCAAATATACCTACTGATTACCTTAGCACATAATCTGCTGTAACTGTTTTTACCCATTCATTTCAGCTATCTATTGAAACATGGCAATGTGTTATGATTAAAATTAGAGAAATATGACAAGCAAAATTTATTTGAACTGAAAAGCTTATTGGAAAAATAAAAACAAAAAAATTAGAGGAAAAACACAAATTATCATGTTCACCATTGGAGCTGAGAAGCTCAGATTACATGTAGAAATAATGATCCATTCTGTAATTACTCATTTGGGATTTCATTCATATACAGAGTGCAGTACAAGTGTTATCATTGATAGAAGAAATTCTACCCAGTGTAGCAGGAGTGAATCTGCATAGTGCACCACAACCTACAAGTCCTAGCTCAGTACTTAGTGGACAGCAATCTGATTGTAGTACACTGAGTCCTACTGATAGCCATGCAATAACTACATCTACTCATTACGCCATTGTTGAAAGTGAACATCCATATAAACCAGCCTCAGTGACTTCTTATAAGGTATGACAATATTGTTTACTAATCATACCAACCACAGTATGTTTATTTGCAGTGTTTCCTTCTATTGTCATTTTGCAGCAAATTTCTGCACTGTTTGTTATAATAATACATTACATAGAATACTTGAAAATTTTTTTGTTTAGCCAATAGTGTGTTGAAATCTCCCTGTGAAAAAGAATCGTAGTTGGACCAATCTATCACAATGCACAATGTGTGTCCACTATTTGTTAAGCACACCTAACCAGCAATACCTTCAACTGATTGACTGACAATACAGCGTTCAGGAATCAATTTGATTGTTATTAGGCTTTGAGGCAATATTGCTTGCAACACAACTGTATTAGCTGATGATATTGCTGGTTAGGTGAACATGGTCACAGTTAAACAAAGTCCTAACCACACTCTTGACATTTGTCCATTTACTGATGTTCATTTTTTGGAACCTCCGTCAAGTCTACACCTGTTTATCTTGTTGGTAAATAGAATAGAGCAATTCCACATGTGTACATGGTAGTTGCAGAAATACATTCACATTTATGTACCATAATGTACACTGTACTTTTAACTTGCTTTTGGCACTTAGGAATTTCCAGAATCATTGTTCAAAATGTATTTTTTAATGAAAAACCAGGAATTTGTTTCATACCACTTGCTAGAAAATGTGTGATGGGGTGTGACTTTGATATTCTTTGCTTAGGTTTCCTTCTCTGAAGCAGTTCAGTGGATGACACTGGAATTTGATCCTCAGTGTGGAACAGCACAGCCAGAAGACAGTGTCAAATTATACATACCTAATAAATCAGCTAAAGATGATCAGTCAACTGAAAATCCTCTGATTCCAGTCTTGAAGAAGTTCTATGGTGGATTAAACTGGCCATCTATGGCTGTTATATTACCAGGTGTGAAAACACTACTGTTATTTATCATTTTGAATCTTTGGCTGAATAGAAACTCATGTCTGTGTATATAAAGCTAAAAACTGGGCATTGGCCCCTATCTGTATATATAAGTAACAAAACTGTTTTATAGGTCTCTGCTTTTGTATAAGTTATCATACTTGTTTGTGTAGTATGACTTACGATCAGAATATCAAATCTTTTGGTAGCTGCAGGGACCTATGGATGTATTCCCATATTGAGTACTAATCATGCCCCCACTAGGGTTATTTGATCATGTGGATAGTAGACAACCCAACTCAACCTGCAATTGAGAGGATTAATTAGTCTGTATCTTCCGGGTTTGCCTGACTGATACTCTTTTCTATTCCTAATTTAATGGTTTCAATATCATGCAAGAGAAAAAAAAACTGTCAACTGAATCTGAAATTTTGTAAAATATGTTTTTGATCAGTGTGCGTACTGGTTGCTTATATTTCTTACATGTTTGTGTTCTGTGCACAGGTAATGAAGTTCACTTCACATTAGAAACTGCCTCTGATTATGTAAAAGATGAGAAGGCATCGTTTTATGGTTTTAAATGTACCGTTATTGGCTATGAATGGGTGTCAGCACCAGAAGAGGTAAGTTATACTTGTATAATAATAATAAATAACATAACTAATCTACCGGGTAATTATCACATATGGGCTAAAGTATATCCAATACTTAAACCATACTATGCCAACTATCATTTCAAAGCAAATAAATCATACCTGCTTTGCTAGAATGCAAGGTTATGTTTCAATTGAATAGTAATTTGTTTCTCATCAATAAAACTACATTTATCTTCTGATTTTCCTTAAATATTGATTTAGTATTACTATTTGTTGTGTTTTAGGCTTTCATTTCAGTATTATAGTATTGTTAGTAATAATTGTCCAAGGGTGGCCGTATCTATTCAACAAGCTGACACACTGGTACAATATAATTGTTGTGTATCATGATATCTTATAGGGAATGGCGCAGTTGGAGAAGGAGTTATCCTACTTGGGAGGTATGTGTGCCTCATCCTTGTTGAAGAAAGACTTGATACTTCCACCAACTACGACTGAAGAAGCAGAGGAAGATTTGGATGCTTTGGAAGAAACTGCACAACAGGTACATTGTAACATGTTAATTAATCGTTCAATGGTTGTCATCAGAAATGATTGCATCTCTTTGCATCAGCTCTTCTGTGATGAAATAAATAAAACAAGTATTTAAATAAACTTGTTTTGCAGATATTTAGTAATCACTCCACTCTACTGAACAAGGCGTTTGCATTGAGTAGTCCTCTGACTGTGCATCAAGCATTAGATGGTAACATACCAATATGTACACAGTCTAATGAGAGAGCCTTCCTTAAAGATTTTGTCTCATGTAGTTCAGCTACAAGCGGTGGCAGACTGGCAAGGTAAGTGTGAATGTTGGATAAGTAGACTGATGGCAACACAGGTTATCAACAATTTCTGTTGATTTTGTGAGCACATGTCAAATTATCGGCTGATCTGCACTGGCTCGGAAGATGAATTCTGATTGGCTAAAAAACAAAAAAACTTGTGGCGTTGAATGCACGTTCATTGTCAGTATTGTTATGCAAATTCAAACTAGCTAATCATTTACAACCTTCCGAGCCAGTGCAGATTAGCCCCAAATTATATGCTATGTACAAATGTGTGCTCCATTTATATCAAAATCTGCAACTTTTTTCTAAATGAGTATGAGATACATCATAACTCTTTGACCAATTCACCAATCAAATTTCATATTTTGTATGCAGGTTTTTTTTTTTTTGGCAAAAA